GGAAATAGAGCAGTGGCTCAAGTGATAGAGCATTAGCCTTGAGGAGAAAAGCTAAATCTAGACCCTGAGTTAAAACCCCAGTACTGGCATGCATGCGTGCGCATGCGCGCGCGCGCGCGCGCGCGCGCACGCGCACACACACACACACACACACACACACACACACACACAGACACGCAGACACACACACACAAACTGGAATACTGTTATACTGTCAGTGTGGACCTGAGTCACCTGAGAAAGGTTCATGAAGGAAGTAAGGCTTGATTTGGCCTTTGATGGATAGTTATGATGAATATTGTTAAGAGGAGAAAGAAGGGCAAGAAGAAGCAATAGGGGAGGGGCTGGGAAGGTGGCTCAGTGGTAGAGTGCTTGCCTTGCATGCATGAGGCCCTGGGTTCGATTCCTCAGCACCATATAAGCAGAAAAAGCTGGAAGTGGCGCCGTGGCTCAAATGGTAGAGCACTAGCCTTGGGCTGAAGAGCTGAGGGACAGCGTCCAGGCCCAGAGTTCAAGCCCCATGACCGACAAAAAAAAAAAAAGATTATCTTTGCCAGGCGCTGGTAGCTCACGCCTGTAATCCTAGCTACTCAGGAGGCTGAGATCTGAGGATCGAGGTTCAAGCCAGCCTGGGCTTGAAAGACCGTGAGACTCCTATCTCCAATAAACCACCAGAAAACCAGACGTGGCACTGTAGCTCAAGTGGTAGAGCGCTTGCCTTGAGCTGAAGAGCTGAGGGATAACGCCCAGGCCCAGAGTTCAGGCCCCACAACTGACCAAAAAAAACAAAAAACAAACAAAAAAACCCAGAAGCAATAGGGAGCCAGCTGACACAGGAGTATGTAGATTCCAGTAGAGATGGCAGAAAGAATAGGAGAAAAAATTTGAAATGTTACTGGGGAGACAACAAAAAACTTTTTTTTGGTTGTGAGGTTTGAACTTTGGGCCTGGGTGCTATCACTCAGCTCTTCAGCCCAAGGCTAACACTATAGCACTTGAGCCACAGCACCATTTCTGGTTTTCTGGTGGTTAATTGGAGATAAGAGTGTCATGGATTTTCCTGCCTGGGCTGGCTTTGAACCATGCTCTTCAGATCTCAACCTCCGGAGTAGCTAGGATTACAGTCGTGAGCCACTGGCACCCGGCAACAAAAAACTTTCGATGAGTGTTTACTGAATGACTGTCCTGTGTCGAGACTGTTTTTCATAGGAGAGAAATAGCTAAAACAGAATTGAAAAATTCCTAACTATTAAGGTTATGAGACACTGAAATGGAGTATTGTCTTTGTGCCTTATTCCCTGACCTACAAGTCTATTCGACTCCAGAAGAACTCCTGGTTAGTGCCAAGAGGAATGAATGCAATGATTTGTTAGTTTCTCTCAGGTCAGGGACCCAGAGTTTGTACCGCCCCCTTTCCCTGCCCTGTGCCTTGACCTTTGGACTTCTTCTCTTTGGAGGTTTTCACACCAGACATTGCAGCAGACATCCATGATAGGTACCATGGCTCCACTGAATGCCCAGGGCGTCCAGGCAGGCGTCCGTTCAGCTTCCATACTGCCTGAGCAGCAGCAGCAGCAGCAACAGCAGCAGCAGCAACAGCAGCAGCAGCAGCAGCAGCAGCAGCAGCAGCAGCAACAGCAGCAGCAGCAGCAACAGTACCACATCCGGCAGCAGCAGCAACAGATCCTGAGGGTGAGGCCTTGGCATTGCATCCAGAACTTAGGAGCCCAAGGAGGGAGGGAAGGACAGATTCTTTCTCCATTATCACCAAGATTCAATGAGGTAGTATGCTGAGCACCCAGCCAAGTGGTTGGCCAATGGTGGTACTGTTTTTGTTGTTGTTTCCTGAGGAACAGAGTGTGCGAATGGACACTGTTGGGTATATAGTAGGTTTACTTTCTTCCTCTGTAGTAATCCGACAAAGGTAGATGGAGATCCAGAGTTTCCTCCTGGTCTTCTTGGGCCCAGCTTACTCTCCCTTCCTGCCCTCATCCTTCCAAGGGAGTCACAGCTCCCTTACTCTCATTAGAAGTATCTTGTATCCTCATAGCAGCAACAACAGCAGCAGCAGCAGCAACAGCAGCAGCAGCAGCAGCAGCAGCAACAACCACCACCACCACAACAACCACACCAGCAGCAGCAACAACAACAGGCGGCACCTCCTCAACCTCAGCCCCAGTCACAGCCCCAGGTAGCTGCTGGATTACAGCTCCAGACTCAGGGACAGCTTGCCCAGACTGGGCATACAGCCAATGAGCTAGGTTGGGGATAGTGTGCAATGGAATAATAGTGGAATGCTACGCATGGTAGTTTACAAAGGATTGGGAGGTAAGGATCAGGAAGGAGATGAAAGGGTAAGAATTCCATCATCTACATTTCTCTGCCTCAGTTCCAGCGCCAGGGGCTTCAACAGACTCAACAGCAGCAACAAACAGCAGCTTTGGTCCGGCAACTCCAACAACAGCTCTCCAGTAAGCCTTGTCTTCCTTTCCAAGGAAAACCTTGGGGAATAAGTGGAGCATGGGGTAACAAATGTAGCAGAGGTGCTGGCTTCAGGCCTAGGTTGTAAGAAAAGATGTTTCCCTTCCTCTTTTTCCCTTTCCCCTTCTCCTTCCCTTCCCTCTGCTTCCCTTCCCACCTAACTAGCTTTTCTCTTGCATAGCCATAAACATATTTGATCTGCCACCCCTGATGATCTCTGATTTTCCACAGATACCCAGCCACAACCCAGTACCAACATATTTGGACGCTACTGAGCCACGTGGAGGAACTACTTGAGCACTGGATGTAGCCCTAAATACCCTTTTCCTCTTAATTCCCAGTCCTTTTCGTGGGCTAGCACCAGTAGTGGTTGGGCCTCTTCCCTCAGGCTCCATTTTTAATGAATTTTTAGTATTTTTGTTAATGTGAAATATTGAGCTGTTGGGTTTTTGTATAATATTTATAGAGACCCCAGAGCTGTTGCACCCAATATACAGAGCTTTGCAAAGGGAGTGTGTGAGTCTGCGTGTTGGGGAAGGGTCGTCTCTTGGGAGATACTGGGAGCTGTACCAACAAGTCAGAGCCTTCAAGCTTCCAGATCATCTTCCCTACTTATCTTCTACCCCCTACAGTTATTTATTTTTTAATGCTACTACTGAGGCTTGAACTCAGGGCCTCACACTCTCACTTGGCTCACATCCGCTCAAGGATGGCAGTATACTGTTTGAACCACACCTCTGCTTCTGGCATTTTTCTGATTGGAGATAAATCTCTCAAGAGTTGTCTGCTTGGGAAGGCATCAACCACTATCCTCAGATCTTAGCCTCCTGAGTAGCAAGGATTATAAGTGAGAGCCACCAGCACTAGGCTCCCTACATATCTTAGGTCTGATTGGATTGCTATACTCTCTTCCGTGCTCCCAGGCAACATCTCTTAGGGGGACAGCTTACCTCCCAGCTAAACTGTTCAGCTCCTTTACTGTCTTCTCCATGGGAGACTTACTGATGGGATTGGGGATGGGCCATTAAGCCTGGGGGAGGGGGAGGAATCAATGGAATCCCATTCTCCTCTACAACAGCCCAGAAGATGGGCCTGGAACAGGCTGGGGTGGGGAAATGACTGACATCCAGCCTACCATTTGTTTGCTGTCTCATGTGATCCTAGTAAGGCAATGAGCGGCAATAAGCTAGAGGACTTCCAGAGAGTCTCATTTCTGGGTTGAGAAATTGCACTCCATTGGTACTTGCCATCATAGAATAGGTGGCTGTAGGAGGAAGAGAGCCCTAGTAAGAAGCAGCACCTGTTTCCTCTTTGCCCTGCTGCTGGAACTGTTTCCTTTCACATGACCCACCTTGGCAGTTACCCAGGGTGACTGTTGCTCACTCCCATTTTACAGTAGAGAAACTTCCAAACTTCCTCCAGAGTCATATTTGGACCTGGGGCTAGGCCATTCTCATCCTCCTTTGCATTCTGCCTTGGGCCCTAGATCCAAGATTATGAAGAAGAGCCAACTGCTCATAAAGCAGTGGAATCTCCTGGTCTGCCTAGCTGGGGCTGGAAGAAGCCCAGTTCCAGCCCAATGGCTGGATGGTACAGGAAGATTTGACAACTTAAAGGCATTGTCCAAACAATAGTTGCACTCTTATCATGAAGTACCACATGTGCTGATAAAACTAGGAGTACCAATCAATCAATACCCGTTATAAAAATAAAAATCCTTCAAGGTCCATTGATAAAACCCTCCTGTGTGTCTGGGATTTACCAAGTTCCTGAGTTGCAATATGAGGAAGAGCTCCCTGACATGGCAAATGCCAACACAACTCAAATATTTTCTCACTTGACTGTGGCCTGACATACTCAGTGGATCATGGGGGTAAAAGCTTGACTGGGATAAAGGGTGTTTGGAGGAGGTTGGAAGGTACTATGCTAACTAGATAGGTACACTACATATGGAAGCAGACAATGACACCAGGTTTGAGTGCAGGACAGGTAGAGGCTAAAATGGGTAGGCAGCTTGGCATCATGCTGAAGTCTGAATCTGACCTGCCCCAACAGACATGGCAAGAGAAAGAAACAACATTGACCTTTGGGAGAGTGACAGGATCAGGGGACAGTGGCCCCATTGGTGGTTGGTTGCTGCCTGGGTAGTGCTGCAGCTGAAGAGAGGTGAGGGATGCTCGATGAGCTGGAAACATCTATTGCGTGTGACTGGGGGATTCTGCATGCAGTGCCTCAGTTTCTTCCTTTGTGTCAAGGTCTCCTGCTTTGTGAGAAACATTTAGATTAGCTGCCCTGGAAGAACACCTGTCTGATAGCTTGCAATTTGAGGTGTGTTCACTTATAAGGGAGAGGAAGAGTGTGAGCAGAGCCTGCCTGAGCATGAGGTGGGGGTGGGGGGTGGGTGGGAATTGGGCCATGCCCCAGGACTTGAGCCATCTTTGGCACAAAAGGAGTTAATGGCAGGGACCGCGCCCCCCCTGTGTCCGGGCACGCGCAGCGCGCCCCCTCAGTGCGCGGGCACAGCAGCCAGGCTGCCGGAGAGCTGATCTCGGGATTCGGGTGCGGAGCCCTTGGCCTGGAGGCGATATGGGTGGTCCGTGGCGCGGTTCAGTCGCTCACAGCAGCCCAGGGAACAGGTGAGGCCGCCTGCCCCCACCCCCAGTCTCTCATCTTCTAGCTGCCCATCCCTTGCCCCCCATCCTGTCCCCTCCCAATCCCGGACTCCACCATCCTCCAACCAGTAGCTCCCATTCCTTTCAACACTGCGTTCTCCATAGGCACCCCTGACCCTCCAATGTCTCTTTGCTTCGTTTCCCTCTTCTACCTCCTCCCTAAATCCCGCATCTCTATTATCCTCCCATCCATGGTCCCTCTGTTTCTACAGCCCAGCCCGCATGCTCACCAAAATACCCTTATCCAGGGCCCCTAGCCCCATTCCTGTATTGCATGTTGCCAGTCCCCCCTCCCCTGCAGTGCAGCCCCATCCCCCTCCCTCATAGCATCTCCTAGCCAGGTTCCTTCCCCCACACTCTGCAGCCCCCCCACCCAATGGAGGCCTTTATTCTATCCTCCCCATTCCAGTGCAACTCCATCCCCCAATACTGTTCCGATTCCTCATAGTCCCCAACACTGCAGTTCTCAATAGTACTCCATTCCTACACAATGCCCCTTGCCTGGTGCTCCCAATACCAGATCCTGCCCTCCCCCCAAAGTGCCCCCCAGATGTCATTTTCATCCCAGCATTGCTATTTCCCGTTGTCTTCTCCCAAATGCTAGTTGGACTGGAACGGAGATCTTGGCCTTGGGATCCTACAGTGGGTTTTAGGGTACAGAGGGCATTTGGGGGTCGGTCTGCTTGTCTAGGTATTTATGGGGGAAGGGCTGCAGGAAATTGACTCAAAGGGGAATTTGGCATTTGGCGCCGAAGGGTTACTGGAGAGGGAGGCATCTTGAAAGGGTTAATGGAATTTGTGAGGTGGGAGCAGCACCGAGGGGGTTAATTGGGGGGGGGGTTGCTGGCAGGGAAGCCGTGTGAATGAGCGGTCTGTGCCCCAGGGTTGCCATGGAGATGGTGAATGGGGGGATTGTGTGAACTCAGCTGCGGACTATCCCCCCCCATATACACACCCACCCACTCCCTCCTGCCCCACCTCCCTACTCCTACCCCTTCCTTCCCCTTCCCCTCCTCCCCTCTAGCAGGATGCATTCTGGGCAGTGTCTGGGATCTTCCCCCCCATGCTTAGCTCCCCATTTCCTCTGATCTCCCACCCTTTTAGTCACTTTGTCCACCCTCCTCTTCTCTCTTTCTTCTTCCTCCTCCTCTGTCGCCGCCACTGCTGCTGCCGTCGCTGCTGCTGCTTCTTCTCCTTCTCCTCCTCCTCCTCCTCTTCCTCCTCCTCCTCCTCCTTCTTCTTCTTCTTCTTCTTCTTGTTCTTCTTCTTCTTCTTCTTTCTCGTCCTCCTCCTCCTTCTCCTCCTCCCCCTCTTCCTCCTCCTCCTCTTCTTCTTTTCTTCTTCTTCTCCTTCTCCTTCCTCTTCCTCTTCCTCCTTCCTCTTCCTCTTCCTCCTCCTCCTTCTTTCTCTTTCTCTCTTTCTGTCTCTCTCTCTCCCCTTTTTCTTCTTCCTCCTCCTCCTCCTCTTCTTCCATTCTCACTCATACACACACAGGCACACACATACACACATGCACACACACATACACATATTCTCATTCCCCTCTTGTGGTGGCCGATTGCCGGGCGTTCCCATCTCCCTCCCCCACCCCTTCAGCTACTTCTTAAAGGAGCAGGCCTGCAGTCTCAGAAGGTGGGAGAAATGGGGTGAAAAGGAAATGTGTGTGTGTGTGTGTGTGTGTGTGCACATGTGCATGCGTGGATATCCATGCAGGACTGTCTGTGTGTACCTGTGTGTATGTGTTGACTGTTTAACTGTGTCAGAAGGCCTGTGTGTCTGTGTTGCTATTTCTGTTTCTGTCTCCACCTATGTGTCACCATTATGCTGCATGTGTCTGGATATTTACCTATGCGGGTATGTGTGATTTTTTTTTTGAGTAAGTCTCTGTATGTGTGTCTGAATATTTCACCCTGTGAAGCTTTGGCTGTGTGGGGTGCTGTCTCAGAATGTGGGACTATATCAAGGGATCTCTGTGGGTTTGGAATGTATGTCTCTGTGCGTGAATATGGTAGTGTCCATGATGCTGGCTTGGTCTCTCTCACTGCCTTTTTGAGTCTTTGTGAGTTTTCCCCCACTATGAGTCTTTGAGTGTGTATGCCCACAGTCCGTTGTTTATTTTACACTGGACTAGCATCCAAAATGCCTAGCATGCTCCACAGAATGGGTTCTGGCATTGGGTATGAATGAAGAGAGAGGCAGCAGAAAGGACCAGGGCTTAAGGGTTTGGATGTAATGAAGACTTAGGAGCAATGTCCATAAAGGATATGGGAGGGTCTGGGTATTCTAGTGGATGGCTGTCATGCCCCTGTTCTTGCCTGAGGATGAGGGGGTCTCAGTGGCATCTACCACTTATCTGCTGCCTCTCCTTATGAGTTCATGTCCTAGAATGAGTTCACCATCTTCCCATCTTCTGATGTGGAGATCCCTGTGTGGGGTTACCAGGTCTCAGGGGCTAGACAGTTCAGTGTTCACACAGCATGTCCAGGGACTTGAGTTCCATTTCCAGCTCTCTCCAACACCACCATGCCTTGCTACTATAGCTCCAGCAGTCCCTGGCAAACTCCATTGGCTGTGGAGTTGAACCTGACTGTGAACTTGGAGTAGTGACAACTGTCACTCCGTTCATCTCCTTAGAATTTCTACCTATGCCATGCATATAGAATGGTTCTGACAGGCTGTGGATCACCTGGGAGTCCCCTGGAACATGGTTCGTGATACCTCTTCAACTATAGGAGCATAGGCCAAGCTCAGTAGAGCTGCCCCCACCTGCCCACCCACCCACCCAAGACCCACTCTGCAACCCTCAGACACTCTCGGATGACACATGCCTCCCTCTTTCCACAGGCCTGTCTGGCCCTGAGGGAGTCCCCTTTGGAAGCGGTGGTGCTTGGACGACCTGCTCTCTACGTTGCTGGGCACCTGTAGGTGTCCCCCGAGAGCTCAGTTTTGAGGTTCAAGTCAGTGTGGCCATGAAGGGGCTGCCTATTGGGCTGATGCTGTGACTGACCCTGGAGTCTGCCTCTCCTGCCAGTCCCCCTGCCCGGAACATGTGGCTGCGGCTTGGCCCGCCCTCGCTGTCCCTGAGCCCCACGCCCACAGTTGGCCGGAGCCTGTGCCTCAGTCTGTGGTTTCTCAGTTTAGTGCTGAGGGCCAGTACCCAGGCCCCAGCACCCACGGTCAATACTCACTTTGGGAAGCTAAGGGGTGCCCGGGTGCCATTGCCCAGTGAGATCCTGGGGCCTGTGGATCAATACTTGGGGGTGCCCTACGCAGCTCCCCCAATCGGCGAGAAACGTTTCCTGCCCCCTGAACCACCCCCATCGTGGTCAGGCATTCGGAACGCCACACACTTTCCCCCAGTGTGCCCCCAGAACATCCACACAGCTGTGCCCGAAGTCATGCTGCCAGTGTGGTTCACTGCCAACCTGGATATCGTCGCCACTTACATCCAGGAGCCTAATGAAGACTGCCTCTACCTGAATGTCTATGTGCCCACGGAGGATGGTGAGTGCTATGGCCAGGCATTGTACCCTCCCTGCCTCCCGCCTGCCCTGCTGTGTTTGTGGCTTGCATGTGGTTGTGTGCCCTGCAGCATGAGTCTGTCTGTCTGTGAAACTGCTTCTAACCATCACTCTGCTCGGCCTCCCCTCTCCCCTCCCTGTTCTTCCCTCTCCCAGCATTGTCTGAGCTCCCATGTGTGAGTGACACTGTTGCCAGGAGGGGACTGGCCAGGCCTGGGAGCTTTGACAGGTCTAGGTCCAGTGCTGGATGGGGGTGCCCTGGGGAGTATGGGTCTCTGCTGGCAGCTGCCCCGCGGGAGGATGCTGGCTCCACCAGGCCCCACCCCCCACCCCATTGCCACGCCACCTGCTTCAAAAGGTGGTAGGTGTGTGTGGCTGAGCAAGCTGGGTGTGTGTGGTGGGGGACTTGGGGGGGCAAGACAAGTGGGCGAAGCTTAGGTACCTCCTCTTCACTAGCTGATGCCTCCTCCCGCGGGGGCGGGGGTCACATTAAGGTAAGTGACAAACAAAGGAGATGGTGGGACAGGCTCTCTGCCATGTGCCGCCTGCAGAGCAGCTCAGCTCTTGGGACCTGGGGGCGGGGGTGGGGTGCATGCCCCTGGGCAGAGGCCTCCTGTTATTTTTTAGTTTTTTATTCATTTTACAGTAAAGCGGATTTCCAAGGAATGCGCCCGAAAGCCCAACAAGAAAATTTGTAGGAAAGGAGGTAGGTAGCGAGCTGGTGGGGAGGGAGAGAGAGAGAGAGGGAGGGCTGCCTGCCCACCTGCCCTTACCCCTGAAGACCCAGCCTTCCTTCAAGAAGCCCAGGTTCAGGGGGCGGTGAGCAAGCATAAAGTTCACCTCATCAGAGGGCCTTGGCTGCTTTATTAGGGAAGTTTCAGTGGCCTAAGTCAGGTTCAGAGCAGAAGCAGCAACTCTATTGCCTCCAATCTTACCAGCTCCAAATTCCATCCTAATGTGTGGGCCAAAATCAGAGCCAGTGGCTCTCCTGATGACACCTCAGAAAAAACTTTAGGCAACCAAAGCAGAGTCAGACGCTCTGTTCTCTCCCGCAGGGAGCAATACCACAAGACACTGCCCTGTCCTAGGTTGACAGTATAGACTCAACTCTCCCAGGAACCTTAGAACGAACACATGTACAGAGTCTATTTTTCCTTCCACATGTACACCCAGTCCCTGCTTCTGGCCAGATCCTAGCTGCTCTGGTGGCAGAATTCATGGATCTCTGGTGGCAAATTTTAAATTTATCCTCTTGCCAAGAGGAATTTGTTCCTCTGTATAGTGGTACCTCCTGCCTGAATATCTTTTTTTTTTCCTGCAAAACATTCTTATATCTATCTCCAAATCCGTCCCATACCTTTAGAAGCAAATAAGGCAGGGATCAGTATCCCAAATTTACAAATAAGGAAATGGGCCTAGGGGAGTTACTTGTTGCTGCTCAAGGCCCTATTGCTACTGTGTAGCAGATCTGGGGCCAAAACCTGGGCCCCTTGACCCTCAGGGCATGTTCTTTCCACTGTAGCTCATGCAGGCAATTCCCATATGGCCATTCCCACCTCCCAGCTGTGGAAGAAAAATGGTGACATGGGGCTGGAGTGGGCCGACTTGAAACGATTAATAGCTTACGGAACAGGTGGACAATCACAACCTGATCCCTACAACCCTTTGGCAAGCTTGGAATTTGTTTTCCTTTGATGTTGTCAGAGTGGGGACATCAACATTCCTGGGACAGAATGCTCCCTACTAATCTTGCCAGGGGCCAGGGGCTCACACCTGTAATTCTAACTACTTAGGAGACTGAGAAGCTGAGGATTGGGGTTCAAAGCTAGCCTGGGCAGAAAAATCCGTGGGACTCTTTATCTCCAGTGAACCAGTAAAAAGGCAGGAGTGAAGCTGTGGCTCAAGTGGTAGAGCATCAGCCTTGAGTGTGTGTGTGGGAAAGCCGAGCTAAGAGCACAAGAACCTGAGTTCAAGCCCCAGTATCAGGACAGGGTGGGAGGCGGAATAATCTCTGGGGGCAGAATAGGGAATCTATGTGTTAAATACATGCCTTGAGAACTTTTGATGCACATTGGAGCATGGACTGATACATGATGCCCTAAGGACAACGTTTTGTCCTCTCCAACCCAGTCCCACCTTCAAACACAGTAGACAGCCCATGCATGACTTTCACTCCAATGCAAGGTGCTGTGGTGCTTCCAGAAGAGTGCAGGTCTGGGAGCATGAAGCTTGATGGAGTCCTAACTCAGCTTCCAACTCACAGTAGGACATGAGGCCAGTCTTTTCTGTTTCCACATCAGAAGGTAGAAGGAGGCAACTGTGGTCTGAAAATTCCATTAGCCTATAAATATATTCAAGAATAGTATCTCTTAAATGTGCTCCCATGAGTTTTGTGATGTCTTGGGGTGAAGAGAGTAGATGCCATTACCATTAACAACATCCCAGGGCTCCAGTGAGAGTCTAGAGCAGCCCTGATACTCCAGCCAGAGAGCTGACTGGAAGCTGCCTCTCAGTATGAGTGTTTACCAGTCACAATTGTGAATAATGACTGAAGTCATGGGCTAGGTGCTGTTGGGATGTGGAGGGATGTGAGGCAGAGGAAGAATTTAGAAATTACAGCGAATCCCAGTATTGGAGAAGCTCCAAGTCTATTAAAACTCATGTGGGAGCCAAGCTCCAGTGGCTCATGCCTATAATCCTAGCTAACTCAGGTGGCTGAGATCTGAAGATCCCAGTTAGTTCAAAGCCAGCCTGGGCAGGAAAGTTTGTGAGACCTCCAATTATCCAGCAAAAACCTGGAATTGAAGCTGTGGGTCAAGTGGTAGAGCACCAGCCTGGGAGTGAGGGAGGAGGCTAAGGAACAGTACCTAGGCCCAGAGTTTAAGCCCTAGTTCTAGCACAAAGCAAAACAAACAAAAAAACTTCATGTGGAGTCAGGTATGGTGGCCTGTGCCTATAATCAGCTACACCAGATGCAAAGGTAGGAGGATCCCAGTCTGAGGTTCACTCAGGCAAAGTTAATTTGAGACTCTACACAGAAAAAAAAATAGCTCGGCACCAGTGGCTCAGGCCTGTAATCGTAGCTACTCAGAAGGCTGAGATCTGAGGTTCAAAGCCAGCCTGGGCAGGAAAGTCCATGAGACTCTTATCTCCAATTAATCATCAGAAAACTGGAAATGGCCCTGTGGCTCAAGTGGTAGAGCGCTCTCCTGGAGCTGAAGAGCTCGGGGACAGCGTCCAGGCCCAAAGTTCAAGCCCCGCAAAAAACAAAAAAACAAACAAAAACCCTAAAAACAAAAGGAGTAGGAGTGTGGCTCTAGCAGTAGAGCACTTGCTTAGAGAGTGCAAAACCCTGGTTTCTATCTACAGCACTGCAAAACTATCAAAACCAGCAGCAACTAGTTTCCCTAAGCCCCACAAGGCTAGTGTGGGAAATGGGGACAGGATTGGAAGAAGGCATTTGGTCATTTAGCTATTCAATTGAGTTCCCTCTTCTGGGCCTGTTGGCCATTTGGAACAGTTACAAATCTTAATCTCTTTTGGGGAGACCCATACCCAGAGGTCATTAGGGCTTTTGTATGCATAGGTCTGGAGAGATGGCCCTTGGCAGCTTTGCATAGTGTCTGCCCATGGTGCCTGGTGAGGCCCAGATCAGCAAGGAATTGTTCAACAGGGCCATGCTAAAGGCATCTGTGCAAGGGAGGTTGGGCCAGTGCAGCCACGAAGGAAGGACAGGAAGCAAAAACTTTCCTGGGGGAAGATCTGCTCCACCCCCACCCTCATCAAGGTGGAAGAAATCAGTGTGTAGGGACAAGTAATTCTTTTCAGTTCAGTGGGCTGTCCACTATGTAGGTAATGATGTCTGGGTCCCATCAGGGTTCTGAAGGTGCCACTGGCAGGTGTTGAACTAACCTGTTAAGACGGTGAGTGCCACTGCAAGTTCAGGAAGCTGGAGGCATTTCTACTGCGAAGCTGAGCTCTTGCTTTAGATGAAAAGCCATTTTGTAGTAGGAGAGTAGTTCCTGTTTTGATTAAGAGCTAGAAGGATATCCAGTCATCAGAGCTCAAGACAGCTGAGACACAGGGCTATTTGCTTCCTACAGGCTGGGGGTATCTGGTGTCCTGGATGCCAGAGGGTAATGCTTGGGATGCCAGCAGAATTACCTCCATTACCACACATGATCTGATCCAGCATCCAGGCAGTAGGCCCTCTCTCTCCACAGACATTCTAAATACTTCTAGTCTCCTCAGAACAGGAAGAATTGATGCCAGCCTACCCCAGATCTTGAATGTCTCTCTTCTTTCTAATCTCTCTTCTTTCTAATCTCTCTTCTCTCCTCCCCTCGGCTTTCCTCTCTACTCCTCCCCTACATCCACACTCCTCCTTCTTCTCTCATTGACTTGTTCCCCTCCCCTTCCTTTTCCCCCTTCCCAAAAGGTGGCATGGTACAGTGGAAAGACCATAGACTTTGAAGTCAAGCAGACCTGGGTTTGCTTCTTACCTTTAGCACTTCCTAGCTATGTGATCTTGAGCAAGTCACTTGACCTCTCTGAACCTCAGTTTCCCCATCAGTGAAACAGGAATAAAGATAATACCTACCTCCCTGGGGTGTAAGGATCAAACAATATGGGCAGAAGTAGAATACCTGGCACATGGGAAATATTCAGTATATGGTAGGAACTATTGCCATTATCCCTATCTCTTTCTCTCCTCTCTGTCTCTTCTCTGTCTCTCTCTGTGTCTCTGTGTCTGTCTCTCTCTCTCTCTCTTTCTCTCTCTCTCTTCCCTCCTCCCTGTCTCCCCTTTCTTCCTTCCCTCCCTTCCCCCTGGCTCTCTACATCTCAGAGCAATGCTTGCTGCTCTCAAGACTGGTTCCTGTGGGCAGGAACCCCATTTGCCATTAATCAGAGCAGGGGTCCCCAATGAAGGCCAGAGAGTAAACTTCATCTCCCATTTTCTCCTGTGGGAATCAGGGTCAGCTGAGGCCTAGCTCAAGTCTGTGCATTGGGTCCCAGTAGCTCAGGCCTGGGGCCCCTGGTACGTGTCTCTGCTCTAAGTTATCTCATATTGATATCCACATGTGCTGGCAATGTCACTTCTCATCTTCAGAATCTGCCCCTGCTCTCCAGCTCAACTTGCCTGTGTCCACCTGCGCAGTCCCTCTCCCCCCGCCCCCACTGCCCAGAATGAATCCTTGCCGAGTGGGTCTCTGGCCCTGTGCCCTAGCCCACCTGCTGCTACCTCCTTCCTACCTGGGAAGGGAGTTGATTGAGAGGGGCTGCTGGGGACATGGAGGTTGGGGCAGGGAGGTGCAGGGAGGCCAGCACAGCAGAGGCCTGCAACACCATCATCCTGATGAAGGTCTGAGCCTCAGCCCACCCATTCCCTCAGTTCTTGCCATCCCTCCTGCCTGTCCTGGGCCCAGGCCCAGAGCTGGCTTGCTGGGCCACACTGCAGTCATGCTGTTTTTGAATTCTCTCTCTGTTTTGTTCTCTGTTCTGTGCTGTTGTGTCTCCCCGTGTCTGGTCCCCAGGATCCGGCGCTAAGAAACAGGGCGAGGACTTAGCGGATAATGACGGGGATGAAGATGAAGGTATTTGGGGGCTGCAGGGCGCGGCGGCTGGTGCATGGCACAGAGCCCCTCCCCTTTCTCGATGGGGAGAAGCCCCGTCTGTCTGTCTGTCCGTCCGTCCGTTGGTGTGTTTCTGTTCCTGTACAAGGCCGTTGGGCTGTTCCTCCGTCTTTGGTCCGTTGGCCACTGGGAGTTCCAGGGTGATGGAAACGGCTGGCAGGAGCAGGGATCACAAGCAGAGCTATGGGGAGGGCATCTCCCTTGCCCCGAGCCCCCTCCCTCCCCCCGTCTTCTACGGTTCATGGGCACCTGCCTGTGCTGAGCAGCAGGGAGTGTGGAGAGGAAACAGGGCAGTGGAGGGTCTGGAGAAGTACAAAGGAAACTGGACGGTGTTTCATTAAGGAGACCCCTGTGTCTCTTGGAGAGGCCCAGCTGGACGGCGCATAGAGGAACAAGACAGTGACAGAGGCTAGAACCTCCCCAGCCATCTCCCAGAAAGAGAGATGGTCCCAAGGTCAGGGACTGCAGTAGATTTAGGACAAGACCAGAAAGGCTGTGGGCTAATGTGCCAGGTTAAAGCCATCAGTAGATGGCCTAAGCTCCTTGGGTGATGGTTGGACCAGCCTTCTTCCTTGGAGTAACAGGTTCGTTTGTTCCGCAGAGAACACCCCCTTCTACCTCCACACTCTGGTCCTACCCCTTCACCCTGGAGGGGCCAGCCAACTCAGGGGGCCCATTGGTGATGGGGAGAACTATGTTGGTGTGACAGTCCAGCTTACAGACTGACAGACTACAGGCAGAGCCTGTAGATCAGGCTGAGAGCCTTGTCTGGACTGCCCCAGGCCTGACACCAGACACTAGGCTGCCTGAGCGTGGGAGCAGTCACTTGATGGGCCCTCCTTGAATGGCCCCTAGGGAGGATCCATCTTAATGCTGACTGGGAGCAAGCTGTGTTGTTTTTTTTAATGAGGGGGGACATCCCCAGTGTTTCTGCTTAAGTCCACCCTAGGGAGAATGGGGCAAATGGGCACACGTGGCTGAGACACTACATCAGTAAGGCTCCCCTACCCCACCTCTGCCATTCACTTCCCTTTTCCCGCCTCCTTCCTCGTTCTTTCCCTGTGCCATTCCTTATTCCCACCCCTCTTGTCTCTGTCTGCACTGGGGGGCAGGGGGGAGGCAGCTCCTGCCAATGGCCATTTTTTCCATGTAACTGGTCCAGTCTTGGAGGTTTCAGGGCTCCCCAGACCCTGCTCTCAAAAGCCATGTCAGGTCCCAGGACTCCTGGGTGCCCAGGGCAGGGACTCACCTGATGCCATTGAGAAACTACCAGTTCATGCTTTTCTTGCTGCCCCCTCCCAGAGCCCAGCTGTGGACCACCTAGACCTAATTCTATTAGGCCCACCTGGTTACTTTCAGTTGGGAGGCAATCAAAACCTGAGTCTTTAAAAATATCATTGAAAGGGTGAACAAATGCAGTCATGGTATTCAATATACACTATGTAAAAAATAACTTTGCAACTTATGGGCAGGGATGAGAGGAGGGAAAACAAAGGAAGGGGTACCATTGTCCAAAAAAATTGTTCTCATTACCTGCCTTATGCCATGGTAACCCCTCCAAATATCACTTTAATCATAACAATCAATTTATATTAAAATTTTTCTATATCATTGGAATTCAACTGACTCTGGCCAAAGCTTGAGCTCTGGGCTAAGTAACCCCATGAGTCCTTCCCTCAGATGGCAGTGGTGTCCTGGCACCTGGGATAGCTTTACTGCTTGCAACCACCCCCCCCCCAGGGCTGGCGGGGGTGGGGGAGGAAGGGCATTCTATCCAGCCTGTGTCTTACCCCTTCTCCTTACAGACATCCGGGACAGCGGTGCTAAGCCTGTCATGGTTTACATCCACGGAGGCTCTTACATGGAAGGGACAGGCAACATGATTGATGGCAGTGTCCTCGCCAGCTATGGCAACGTCATCGTCATCACCCTCAACTATCGAGTTGGGGTGCTAGGTACGATTCCCTGCCAGGTGCCTAGAAGAAGGCCTGGCTTCTCAAGTTGGGAGGAAAAAATGCTGGAGAATTCAAAACAAGTTACTTGGATTCTCTAGCTATTGTTAATGACCATAGCCATAGCTTGTATCTCACCACCCCTACCCAGCTGATGAGGGATTCCTCATATTCCTAGGCCCTTTCTTTGGACCCAAGTACATGCCACTGAAAATTCAGTTTAAATTGCACATATTTGTTTAAGTCCCAAGCCAAGTCTCTCCTCCCACACTTTGTCTTGACTGAGTTTTGTAGGGTTCATTAATTTTTATTTTTTGGTGTCTTTATTCTCACCCCTATCCCCAACCTCACATGCCTAAGCACTCCATACCTATACACTATGCCTACTGATCCACCCATGACCACTCACCCTTAAGCCCACATACATCCACTCTCGATGCATACAGTTCTTTCTCACTCACCCTCACGGAGCAAATGTGTGTCACTCCAGGTCCACACTACAGACCCCTCACACATGAACACATTCTTCTGCCAGTTCATAGACACATATAACCCTCCTCACATCCACACGCTGTATACTTCCCATCCACACCCCATTTTTTCATCTTCCGTATATATGCGTATATATAATATGTACACACATTCTCATATACTCCCCACAGCTCTGTACTCACATCTATACCCATGTACACAGAGTGTACATCACACTTTTCCTCTATCCCCATACTGACATCTCCCACAAAGACCTACACCCTGGACAGCCATGGCTACACTCAAACTCCACATCGTTTACATGTACATAAATATCCTTCCACCCACCCCACACATACACACTCCTATCCTTCTTCACGCCTTCTCCACTTCTGCTGCCACTCCACACACCCACATAACTGCATACATGTACACATCTGCCCCTTGCTTTCCTCACATAAGCACAAACCAATATGCTCCCTCCCTTGATGAAAACTCCCTACTCATCCATCTGACATGTGAACCAATACTAAACTCCCACACCTATCCCTGCCTCCACATCTACAAATATCCATCCATTATGCACATCTACACACACACCTATAGGCTCCCATCTATATGCATATACATGTATGCATAAACACACATACATGCTTCCCACACATGCTCTGAATATATACATCCCACTCATACACATGTGCTTCTTTCATCACTCCACAAATCTCTACTCATCCATGGATCTAGAGCTGCATCTGTATACACACACACACACACACACACACACACACACACACACATCTCCCTATCCTGAGAATACCCTTACTTCTCCCTATACTTGCATGCCCCAAGTACATATACATGTACACATTCTACGCTCTCCATACATACATCTCCATTCATACCCAGTGATACTCTTATTCACACATTTATTTCCCAATTGCCTATGCACGCACACACGTACACACACACACACACACACACACACACAAGCACCAAGCACCAAGCACTTCTCCCTGCGATACACATGCTCATTTGAGTGATTAGGCTCCCTCTCTCTGCCCTGTACCTTTCTTAGTGAATTCCAGGGCCTATCTATGACCAAGGTCTCCTGGAAAACAAGTGCCTCAGGGAAGGTGACAAAGCACATAGGGCCTTGCTCCCTTCCAGACAGCTCACCCAGGCTCCACACCTCTGTAGAGACCTGAAGAAGCTAACTTCTTTGCTGGAGGGCTTGTGTCCTCAGAATTCCAGCGGGAGTCTAAGGTGTTTGTCAGGTCTGTGGGCCTGAAGGCTGAACCCGCAGTTATATCTTGCTTACTCCCTGACTAGTTGAAGGACAGAACTTTATTTTTAATTTGCTCTGGAGTATATTGCTTTGCCAGTTCCAATCCCAGAGGTCTTGGCACTACATTTCACTTCCAGGTGGCAATCCCCTCTTGACTTACCTTAATATTATGTAGGATAGGAAAAAACTTATTGTGAGTTCAAACTGGAGATATGATATTCTTCTGAGAAAAGCTGAGTCAGCCTGCATCCCCTTCAGTCTCTCCCCGGACACACAGAGTGTGCTGGTCGTGACCCTGATCCCTCCACAGGCTAGTGGATTTTACATTTCTGTCCTTCTTTCTTATTACACTCCTCAGACACCATATCAAGGCTCTTGTAAGCTCCTTTGTCTTGTTAAGAAAGGGGATCTGGAGGTCAAGGTACCATGAAGGTGACTGTAAGTCCACACACTAAGGCCACACAATTCCTAAACAGCAATGATTATGCATAGACATGATCCGATGCAGATATCCAGCCACTATGCACATTACTTGATGGATGGTTACATCTGCTAATTTCTTAGAGTAATAGAAAATATTCAACTTAGCTGCTTTTGTAAATTATCAACACAAAGTTCCATCTATAAGGTTTACTAGAATGTACAGAGAATTCTAATATGTACCAGTTCCATATTGTCAGGCCAGCTAGGAATGAAGGGAAAGCATAGAACAGAGAAAAAAAAAAAAGGGAAAGTAAGGAAGAGAAGAAAAGGGGCAAGTACTGGTGGCTCATGCCTGTAATCCTAGCTACTCAGGAGACTGAGCTCTGAAGATCATGGTTCAAAGCCAGACAGGGCAAGAAAGTCCCTGAGACCCTTATCTCCAATTAACCATCAGAAAACAGGAAATAGAGCTGTGGCTCAAAGTGTTAGAGTGCTAGCCTTCAGTGAAAGTGCTCAAGGACAGCACCTAGGGCCTAAATTCAAGCCTTATGACCAACCAAAGGAAAAAAGAAAGAAAGAAACAGACCTGGGAGAGCAAAAATGCTAAGGTACTATTGGGGAAATGAGTCAGTGAGGAGACAGAAGGAAAGAGTTGGAATTTCAGTAGGTTGTGAGGACTCCAGTGTCTTTTGAGAGTTGTAGGCAATACAGAAGGTTGTTGCACAGGATCACAGTAAATGATATCTTCCTTTGCTAGTTACTTCACAACTCTTCAGCTCCTCCTCCTCTTCTCCTTCTTCTCCTTCTTCTTCTTTTGTCAGTCATGGGGCCTGAACTCTGGGCCTAGGTGCTGTCCCTCAGCTCTTCAGCTCAAGGCTAGCACCCTACCACTTGAGCCACAGCACCATTTTCGGCTTTTTCTGCTTATGTGGTGCTGAGGAATCAAACCCAGGGCCTCATGCATGCAAGGCAAGTACTCTACCACTGAGCCACCTTCCCACCCCCTGCTCTGATTCTTAAGTTTTGGGTTTTTTTTTTTTTGGTCTGGTCATAGGGCCTGAACTCTGAGCCTGGGCGCTGTCCCTCAGCTCTTCAGCTCAAGGCTAGAGCTCTACCACTTGAGCCACAGCGCCACTTCTGGCTTTTTTCTTTTTGCTTATGTGGTGCTGAGGAATCGAACCCAGGGCCTCAGGCATGCAAGACAAGCGCTCTACCACTGAGCCACCTTCCCAGCTGATTCTTAAGTTTCTATATTAATAGTTCTTAACATTCTGGGGACTCTTGTGAGATTCCAATGAAAGCTATGAACTGTCCCACAGAATCTCACACACACACACACACACACACACACACACACACACCCCACATATAGAAAGTACTTCACAGGGATGGGAATGTAGCTTAGTGGTAGAGCACTTGTCTAGCATGAGCAAGGCCCAGGGTTCTAGCCCTAGCACCACACACATACAAAAGAAAACTTCATGGAAGTGGAGGTGTGGCAGAGTGCCAGCCTTGAGTGAAAAAGCCAAGCAGGAGCTTCAAGGCTGAGTTCAAGCCTCCGTACTGGCTCACACACACTCAAAAGCAAAATTTCAAGCCAGGTACTGGTGGCTCACACCTGTAATCCTAGCTATTCAGGAGGCTGAGATATGAGGATCACAGTTTGAAGCCAGCTTGGGCAGAAGAGACCATGACACCCTGATCTCCAATTAACTACCAGAAAATCGTGGGGTTAGAGGCATGATTCAGTTGGTAGAGTGCTAGATAATAAGCAAAAGTGTTAGGCATTGAGTTTGAGTCCCAGTCTCAGATAAAAAAATAAAAATAAAAAAAAAAACAAGAAAAAGCCAGGAGTGGAGCTGTGGCTCAAGGGGTAGAGCACTAACCTAGATCAGAAAAGCTCAGGGACAGTACCTAGGCCCTGAGTTTAAGCCCCAGGACACAGAAAAATTAAAAAAGAATTTCACAATACCCTTGAAGTTCATCCATGGAGCTCGTACTAAGAAAATTCATTTACAACCTCCTCTCATTTGGGTAATCAGAACAGTGCCTTGGGGAAGAAGGGGTGTGACCAGAATATTATTCTTGAGGCTTAGGCATTCTTTGATGGTTCAAATATCATTATCCCATGCTTAGAAGGAGTTATAAACTAAGATTTGGTCTGAAGTTCTCCACTACTTCCTGTGTACCTTTCAGTTCCTGTTCTGGCACAGAAATATAATCAGTAAGCCATTGATCGCATCTGGGTACATGTAAAATATATATTTTTTGTCTCTTGGCACCAGACATAGAACATGGGTTTGTCCATGATGCTTGAGGATTTTGCTGTGTGGCAGAGGCTCAGTCATTTTGTTTTCCAAAACATCACAGAACAGGTGGCCAATTTTGGACCAAAATGGCATGCATGTACCCTCACTCCCATCAGCTTCTCCTGAGTACTGAAACAATGTGGCTTAGTGGTAGAATGCTTGCCTAGCATGCATGAAGCCCTGGGTTCAATTCCTCAGTACCACGCACACAGAAAAAGCCAGAAGTGGTGCTGTGGCTCAAGTGGTAGAGATAGCTTTGAGCAAAATAAGCTCAGGGACAGTCCCCAGGCCTTGAGTTCAAGCCCCAGGACTGGCAAAAAATAAAGGAAGAAAAAAAGGAGCTTTTCTAGACATCTTGGTTGATTCATGTATATGGAGAACATCACAGTCTTGTCCAGGGAAGAGGGGTAGCTATTATTTCAGAAACCCCCCACTGGACTTGAGGCCAACAAAAGAAAAAGACTCCAGCAGGATATAGGATATTCCTGGGCTAAGGAGCTAGGGACTTGTCTCCTTTTATTCTAAGTTCCAAAATTAACAATACTATATCCCTGATTGGGTACCCTCCAGGTAAACAAAAAACCTGGTCAATATCTGTCAAATCATCCCATCTTCTTTTTGATAAGCAGCTTACTAGGTACCACAGTATCAACTTGGGCCCAGGGAAGCTGGCTTAGATTTAGTTAGACAGTTTATGCCTAGCATTGGGTATTTTAGCCTCTCTTGTCTTGTGGTTTTTAGGGGTGGCCAGGATACTTGGAAACAAAAATAAGTGGCTGATATCCCAAACCACCAGATTGTGTGTGCTCCTGATGGATCACACTCACCAAGTCTTCTTGACCCCATTTGGATGTAGTTCTTTTTTGTGTATGCCGGAATTAAGGCTTGAACTTAGGGCCAAGGAACTTTCCCTTAGCTTTTTTTTTTTTTTTTATTAAGGCTGCTGCTCTACCATTTGAGCTATAGCCCCACTTACAGCGTTTTTTTACTGGTTAATTGGAGATAAGAATCTCATGGACTTTTCTGCCTGGGTTGGTTTTGAACCATGATAATTAGATTTCAGTCTCCTGAGTAGCTAGGATTAGAGGCATGAGCCACTGGTGCCCAGCTGGATAATAGTTTGTTTTTTTTGTCAGTCATAGGGACTGAACTCTGGGCTTGGGCACCCCTCAGCTCTTCAGTCCAAGGCTAGTGCTCTACCACTTGAGCCACAGCGCCACTTCCAGCTTTTTCTGCTTATGTGGTACTGAGGAATTGAACCCAGGGCCTCATGCATGCAAGGCAAGCACTCTACCACTGAGCCACCTTCCCAGCCCCAGGATAATAGTTCTGGAAGCAGAATTCTTCTTGTAATAGGGATCACTGATAGGGCACCATCCACATGCTTCAGTGCTCCCTTTCTGGAAGGTCAAACCATCCACCCAGTTTTCAGTCCTTTGTTCCCTAACCCAGGAAATTGGTTCATGTTGGAGAAATCTACCACATCCAACTGCAGGCTTTGCTGCTGATTAGGACCGACATCTTTGACATATTTCACTGAATGTGAAATGAAACTGGTGAAGGCTGAAGCCAAGTCTGCTATTGCCTAAGTAAGAGAAAAGGAAAAGAGAGTATGAGGGAAGGAGACAGAAGGAAAGGAAGGTTAAGAGAAAGACATAGTGATTTTTGCCACAGGGTTTCAAGGGGTAGTAGGCAACCGAATTGGGTCTTGAGCTCCATAATTTTTTTAAAGACTTATAGGAATGGCTTTAGTTTTCTTAAGGAACATGGCAATTTTGAGTTGAATTTTTCCACTCATCCTTGATCTAATCTCTTTTTCTTTCCTCATCTGGAACCTGGGGCTAAAGAGGACTTTTGATGAGGTCCTGGGAGGAATAACTAAGTACTTTACATACTTAATTGTACCAAAGGTAAATTAATAACACACTTGAAGAGGCCAAGAGGATACAGAAAGATTCAAAAGGCAGTTATCAGGTCTTGGGCCTGCTTGAGTCTATTTGAATTCAGCCTCTGCCCAAGGACCACCAGGACTGCAGGAGAGCTCTCTGAACTGTGAGCACCTTCTCCAACATGGTTTTGCACTAAGTTGATTCCAGGTGCTGTGAATGAGCTTTTAATGGTGGACTCAAAGGATACTAATCCACATGTGAGTTTTCAGTGTGCTGGAGCACTGCAATTACCCACCTGAAAAGCACCCTTCCAAAAACCTAGTACAGAAGAACACAGTCTTCTAAGGATCAGGGAAAAGAGATGAAACAAGGCAGCCGGATAAGTCTAAAATGGAAGCAGGTGGTGATGGGGAATATAGGACATCTCTGTGGGATAGCCAGCAGGTGGGCGGGAAGGTAGTCTCCATGGTAACAAGTCTCTGTAGCAGCAAATCCCAGCAGGTGGGTGGGAAGGTAGTCTCCATGGTGACATGTCTCCTCAGCAGCAAATCCCAGTGGGTGGGCGGGAAGACCTGTTTCTGTGGTAACGCACTGCACTGACTTCTTCATTTCTTCACCAGATGAAAAAGATGGTCTAACCCAGTGGCTTCTCAACTTTAGCAGGCATCAGCATCACCTGGAGAGCTTGTTAAAATCATAGATTGCTGGAACCCACCCTCAGAGTTTCTGATTAATTAGGTGTTGGAGGAAGGGAAATGAGGACCTACTCTGAGGATGAAGGGAAGGGGGCCATCCAAGGTCCTGCAAAAATGTGGGGATGAAGTAATTTGTATGGGAAGGACTAGGAGAGGTTAGATATTATTACCTTTTAGAACTTTCACTTCCTGCTGGGTGCTAGTGGCTCACACCTGTAATCCTAGTGACTTAGGAGGCTAACATCTGGTGATTGTAGTTCGAAGCCAGCCTGGGCAGGAAAGTTCATGAGACCCTTATCTTCAGTTAACCATGTAAAAGCTGCAAATGGAGCTGTGGCTCAAGTTGATAGAGTGCTAGCCTTAAGCAAAAAAAAAAGTTCAGAGACAGCCCCTAGGCCCTGAGTTCAAGCCCCATGACTGGCACAAAAAGAAAAAGGTAAAAAGAAGCCGGGCGCCAATGGTCACGCCTGGAAGTTGATATCTGAGGATCGAGGTTCAAAGCCAGCCCAGGCAGGAAAGTCCGTGAAACTCTTATCTCCAATAAGCCATCAGAAAACTGGAAGTGGCGCTGTAGCTCAAGTGGTAGAGTGCTAGCTTTGAGCTGAAATGCTAAGGGACAGCGCTCAGGCCCAGAGTTCAAGTTCAGGGGAAAAAAAAAAAGGAATCTTCCTTTACAGAGAAGGAAGGGGAAAGGAGTAACTATATTGGGTTTGTACCCATTTTATCCTTCTTACAACTCTATATTTTTAATATAATTGTACAGGAGCAAAAACTGTGGCCCAGAGATTTTAAATAAGTTTTCCAAGGCCATGTGACTTGGATCCAAATCAAGGACCATCTGACTCCAGTGTCTTTTGCTTTTTCCACTATACCTTGCCAGATGTTTAGTATCATGTCCCTTGAAAGCATGTTTGGGCAGAAGATTCAGAGTTCTGACCTCTTGCTGGTTCTGGAGTTTAACTCTCCCACCTAAAGGAAGCAGCCACTTCCAATGTTCTGTTTGGCCTCCTTCCAAACTGGATCAGGGATGGAAGGCAGGGAGCCAACACTGCCTATATTAATGAGGCTAGACCTCCCAGGAAGAAGTGGTTTAGGTTAGCAAGATGGGAAGAACTGCATGGCCATGTGCTCATCCTCTGTCGCAACTCCCCCCACCCCCAACTCCTACCTGCGTCCTCAGCCAAATCCTCCATCCCTTTGCCTTTACTGTGCTCATGCTCTTTGTTTAACCTAGGTTTCCTGAGTACTGGTGATCAGGCTGCCAAGGGAAACTATGGGCTTCTTGACCAAATCCAAGCCCTCCGGTGGGTAAGCGAGAATATTGCCTTCTTTGGAGGAGATCCCCGCCGTATTACTGTCTTTGGCTCGGGCATCGGTGCGTCCTGTGTCAGCCTCCTCACACTGTCACATCATTCTGAGGGTGAGTAGCTCCTGGAGTGAAACAGACTAGTCCCATGCTGGCTGAAAACCTTGAGCCCCAGGGCCTTCTAGGCTCTAGAATGCCTATTTCCATGTCCCAGGAACAGAACAAGGAATCCACCAGTCCTCTTCCACCAGCTAGCTAGCCCTTCAGGAAGAAATGGAAGAGAATTGTTTCTTTGGGGAAAGAAGTATGTCTCCAACTGTGAGAGAGAGAGAGAAGGAGAGAATCTCATTTACACCCTAGAAGAGTAAGGTACTCCTTCGGTCATGGGAGTCTTTATTGGCAGAATGGGAGTACAATGTTTCTCTCTGAAGGGACAATACTTCTTTTTGTTTTCTTTCTTTTTTTGCCAGTTGTGGGACCTGAACTCTGGGTCTGGGTGCTGTCCCTCAGCTCTTCAGCTCAAGGCTAGCACTCTACCACTTGAGCCACAGCACCACTTCTGGCTTTTTCTGCTTATCTGGTGCTGAGGAATCGAACCCAGTGCAAGGCAAGCACTCTACCACTGAGCCACCTTCCCAGCCCTGGGACACTAGTTATTTTTGGCAGAGAAAATATTTCAGTATGGCATGGACATGTTACTTCTGAGATGAAATCTAAGGGTAGAGATTAGTTCCTAGGTATAAGAAACACTCATTGTCTGCCTTTCTCTCGAAGAACAAGTCTGTACAAGAGAGAAAATGAACTTGAGCAGAAGATGGGCCCAAAGTGAGAATCTTTGGCCTGGGAGATAGATTTCTTCTGAGGGACAGTGGTCTGTTATTGAGTGACCTCTTCCTGGGATATACAACCCACAGAAGGAAGGTTTATTTTTAGCCTCTCTCCAGTGGTGGGTCTCTGAGCCACTTCCAAGAGGTGGAACACAATCTTTGTCCTTTGGCAAGGGAATGTTCTCTCCATCTCGAGAATGTACAGAATATTCTGTCTCTGATAGGCAAAGCTGAGTGTGTGTTTGGGGGAGAGAGAGACAGACAGACAGAAAGAGATAGAGAAAGACAGAGACAGAAACAGAGAGAGGGAGTAATGGGAACTAGTAAGGTGAAAGATTTTTCTTATGTGCAGGTTCTAGGGCTTGAACTTAGGGCCTGGGTGCTATACTTGAGCTCTTTTGCTTAAGACTAGTGCTCTATCACTTGAACCACAGTTCCACCTCTGGCTTTTTGAGTGGTTAATTGGACATAAGAGTCTCACAAAATTTCCTGCCCAGGCTGGTTTTAAACCATAATCATTAGATGTCAGCCTCCTGAGTAGTTAGGATTACAAGCATAAACCACTAGTACCAGGCTACAGTTGAGCTTCGTGTGTATGTGCCCGTTTATCCTGGGACTTGAACCCAGGGTCTGGATGCTATCCCTGCGATACTTTTGCTCAAGACAAATGCTCTACCACTTGAGCCACAGCTTCACTTCCAGCTTCTTGGTGATTAAGAGTCTCATAGACTTTCCTACTTGGGTTGGCTTTGAACCATGATCCTCAGATTCAGCCTCCTGAATAACCAGGGTTATAGGCATGAGCCACAAGCACCTAGCTAAAGCTGAATTTCTAATGAAGAAAAGATCTTCCTGAAATAAGTGTCCCTTTTCTGAAGTAAGGAAATCTGAATGAATTAAATTGAAATTGCAGTGGAATTGAAATTGACTCTATGGTTGGTGTTATTCTGGCATGCTCTCTTTAAAGGTCTGTCTTTCTTAGAGAGGAGAATTACCTTCTCTGGCCTAGAACTTCTGTCTCTGCCTCTCTCAAGACTACCCTGGTGAAGGGAGATTAAGGTGGGATTTGTATCCTCTAAAGAGAGGGAATGGGGGGCTAGGGTATAGCTCAGTGGTAGTACTTGCCTAGCATCCCTACCTAAGGCCCTGAGTTCCATCTCCAGCAGAGAGAAACAAAGAATGTATTTCTAGTTGGCAGTAGTGGGAGTATAGATCCCTCTCTTTTTTCCCCAAAGTAGGGCACAATAACTGACTGTGAGGGTCCTTGTGTCTGAAGACAGACTAGGGGCCTTTTCTCGTTGGGGACTCTTGTAAGAGGAAATGACCTTACCTGGAATGGTACTTGTGTCTCTGAAGGACTGTCTTGTTTAACGAGTTGTTTTCTTGGGCTAGGGGTATGGCTTAATAGCAGAACACTTGCCTAGCATGTGTGAAGCCCCAAGTTCCATCCCCAGCACTGCAAAAAAAATTCGTTTTCTGTGCCTTTCTATAATTGTCTCATGGAGAATAATCTAGAAAAATTAGGTTCTCTTAAGTAGTAATCTGCATTTCCGTCCCTTCCCTTCTGCTCACATAAACTGGCTTTCTGCTGGAGCAGTGACATTGTGTTCCTAAGGGCCAAATTATCTTTGGAATATCAGTTTTCTGATATTCAAGTTCATGTACACAGAACTCCCTTGAATATTAAGGCTATGGAGAATGGTAGACTTTTTTAAGAGGGGAAGAAGCTGCTTCGTTTTTAGCTTAGAGGATAGGAATCCTTTCTGCTTGGGAGAAATTTAGATGTGTTGTTAATGGCTTCTGCAAAAGGGAAGTCTCGGCAGTCTCGGGGAGAACATGTGCCTGGGAGACTTTCAGACCTTAAGGCCTTTGCCCTGGAGATCCTTCCCCAAAACTCCCAGAATATGGGGCTGTCTCCTGCCTGCATTTCTCATCTCTCATGAAAAAGACCCCTTTGTGGTGTCAGCGCCAGCTCCCTGGTGGTGTGCTGGCACAGAGCTGGGCCCAGCTGGGCAGGAAGCAAGAGGGAAAGACAAGGGATGATAAAGAGAGGGAGCATAAGGAGGCTCATGTCTGGGACCCAAAGGGTTACTTCTCACTGTCATTTCCTTAACCCCCACGTTACTGATCATTGCACCAGAATAGGGAAGCAGTAGAGGAATGAAGGTGGAGAGAAGTCAAGAAAAGGGCCTGGCAGTTGTGGTCCTAGCCAATCATTCCCCCTGCTAAAGACTTGTTTTTCTTTCCTAGCCTGTTCATGACATAGGGCAGCCTTAGTGACAAAGGAATAAGATGTTTTATGGCCACGTGTGACAGAACAGACCTGACCCACTGTCACTTACCTTCTATAGGGCTTTTTCAGAGGGCCATCATCCAAAGTGGTTCTGCTCTGTCCAGCTGGGCTGTGAACTACCAGCCAGTGAAGTACACCAGCCTGCTGGCAGACAAAGTGGGCTGTAATGTGCTGGACACCGTGGATATGGTGGACTGTCTTCGGCAAAAGAGTGCCAAGGAGCTGGTAGAGCAAGACATCCAGCCAGCTCGCTACCATGTGGCCTTTGGCCCTGTGATTGATGGTGATGTCATTCCTGATGATCCTGAGATTCTGATGGAACAGGGAGAGTTCCTCAACTATGATATCATGCTTGGTGTCAACCAGGGTGAGGGTCTCAAGTTTGTGGAAGGGGTGGTTGACCCTGAGGATGGTGTCTCTGGCACTGACTTTGACTATTCTGTCTCCAACTTTGTGGACAATCTATATGGCTATCCTGAGGGTAAGGATACCCTGAGGGAGACCATCAAGTTCATGTACACAGACTGGGCAGACCGTGACAACCCTGAGACTCGTCGTAAAACACTGGTGGCACTCTTTACTGATCACCAGTGGGTGGAGCCCTCTGTGGTAACAGCTGATCTGCATGCCCGCTATGGCTCACCTACCTACTTCTACGCCTTCTACCATCACTGCCAGAGCCTCATGAAGCCAGCTTGGTCAGATGCAGCTCATGGGGATGAAGTACCCTACGTTTTTGGTGTCCCTATGGTAGGCCCTACTGACCTCTTCCCCTGCAACTTCTCCAAGAATGATGTGATGCTTAGTGCTGTCGTCATGACCTACTGGACCAACTTTGCCAAGACTGGGTAAGGAGAAAATGGGTGTTTTCTTCTTTGGAACCCCAGCATGACCTCCTTTTTCCTCTGTCTAACCTTTTCCATCATATCCCTTCCTATGATATCCTCCAAAGCTTGTTTCTTAACCACCCCACCCCCCCCCGCCATCCCTTTTGGAGATTTCCTGCCATTTTCCTTCCTTCAAATTCTTCTTGAAGGAGCTAAGAGTGTAGCTCAGTGCTAGAGCACCTGTTCATGTGCCCAAGGCCTTGTTGCCTAGTACCATAAAGGAAAAAAAAAAAAAGAAAAGTAAGGTTGTGTTGAGGATCCAAACCAGCATCAAGCATGAGCAGGTGCTGGGTGCTGGTGTCTCACAGTTGTAATCCTACTCAGGAAGTTGAGATCTGAGGATCAAGGTTTGAAGTCAGCACGAGCAGGAAATTCCATGAAACTCTTGTCTCCGATTAACCACCAAAAAGGTGGAATTGGAGCTATGGCCAAAGTGGTAGAGTGCTAGCCTTGAACAAGAAAACTCGGGGACAGTGCCCAGGCCTTGAGTTCAAGCCCAGCACTGGTACAAAAATCAGAGACCATGTGAGATACGAATGAAGTCCAGAAAAAAATCTTTAGAGTGTTCTTAGCAAAAGTAAGCAGCTGAAAAGTTTGCTAGATGCCCAGTAGTATGTGAAAAGACATAGCATCTGCATAGGCCAAGCTCAGGGGATGAGCACTGTTCTGGTGATGCGTGAGCCCACAAAGGGGAGTAGGAGATCAATCAGATCAATCCATTCCTTTCTTCAGGGTATGGCCTCGGGGTGTGTACAGAGGGCCAGACTCAGAAAAAATGGGAATAGTGGGAAAATTTGAACTGGGGAAGAGAGTTTTATAGGAGGGTGTGAGAGGAAAGTGGCCAGGTGGTCCTTTCCTTAACCAAGTAGAGTAACCCAGAATTTCCATGTGATATTTCAGAGATCCCAACAAGCCCGTCCCCCAAGACACCAAGTTCATTCACACCAAGGCCAATCGTTTTGAAGAAGTGGCCTGGTCCAAATACAACCCCCGGGACCAGCTCTACCTTCACATTGGGCTCAAACCCAGGGTCCGTGATCACTACCGAGCCACTAAGGTGGCCTTTTGGAAACACCTGGTGCCCCACCTGTACAACCTCCATGACATGTTCCACTATACATCCACAACCACCAAAGTGCCGCCTCCGGATACCACCCACAGCTCCCACATCACGCGAAGGCCCAATGGTAAGACCTGGAGCACCAAGCGGCCAGCCATCTCCCCTGCCTACAGCAATGAGAATGCCCAAGGGTCCTGGAATGGGGAACAGGATGCAGGGCCACTCCTGGTGGAGAACCCTCGAGACTACTCCACCGAATTAAGTGTCACCATTGCTGTGGGAGCCTCGCTCCTGTTCCTCAATGTTCTGGCCTTTGCTGCCCTCTACTACAGGAAGGACAAACGGCGTCAGGAGCCCCTAAGGCAGCCTAGCCCTCAAAGGGGAGCTGGGGCCCCTGAATTGGGAGCCGCTCCTGAGGAGGAGCTAGCAGCACTCCAGCTGGGTCCCACTCACCATGAGTGTGAGGCCGGTCCCCCCCATGACGCCCTACGCCTCACAGCATTGCCCGACTACACCCTGACCCTGCGGCGCTCCCCTGATGACATTCCACTCATGACCCCCAACACTATCACGATGATTCCCAACTCCCTAGTTGGGCTGCAGACATTGCACCCCTATAACACCTTTGCCGCAGGGTTCAACAGTACCGGGCTGCCCCACTCACATTCCACTACCCGGGTATAGCTCCAATCCAGAGCACAGCTCATCTCCTGGCTCCTTCCCTCCCAGATACACACACACACACACACACACACACACACACACACACACACACACCATGTGCGTACAAACACTGACACACACATGCATCCATACACACCACATATGTATACGCACGCACCTGCACCCTACAGCAGACCCATCTGCACAGACACAGATGTGGACATGCACCCGCATGTATAAAACCACCAAGACAGAAGTCAATCTGAGCAAACCCTTCCAATGGGGGGCACAAAGGAGTCCTCGATAAACTGAGGACCCACAGCAGCTGAAACCAGCTCCCTGAGCCTGACCACAGACACTCCTGGGGGGGCCCTGAAAGCAACCGCTGAACACCCCCTTGGTGCTCGCCTTCGGCCTCTTGGAACTGCACCATCAACCAACTCCAGACTTGGGAGCTTTAAAGAGCAGAATAGCTCTTCCTCCCCCAGACTTGGTCGTTTTTCTGGGTCTTGTTTTTTTGTTGTTGTTGTTGTTTTGTTTTGTTTTGTTTTTAAGAAAACTGGAAACAAATGCTTTTTCCAATCCATGACTGTGAAGAGGCTCCAGAAAGGAGGCTCCAGGTCCAGGTCTATCTGGTTCTGGAATCCCTATGTTCACACATCAGACCAAGGAAAAGGAACCCCCACCCACCCCTCCCCCCAAAAAAAGAAAACGATTTGAGCAAGACCATCTGGGAGAGTTCTCTTGGGGAGAGTTCTCCTGCCTTTCGTGTGTCCCCGAAGAGGGCTGCAGAGCTGTTAGCATGACTTGCTTCTTCTAAAGGCTAGCAGCCTTGGCCTGGCTAGGCCGGGGGACCCTAAACCTGGTGAATAAGGTACTGTGGAGGCTGTGTTATTCTTGGGACCCCAGGTACATAATCTCGGTTCTGCCTCTGCCCTAGGGGAAATGCTATTGGAATTTGCCCCATTTTCTTTAGTCTCTTTTTGTGTCTGTCATTTCTCTTTCAAAAAAGGCAGTTTTTTTTCCCCCTTCTTTCGTTATTGTTGTTGTTGGCTCTTTTTTTTTTTTTTTAAAGAAAAGTTCTTAAAACACTAACGGAAAACCCATGGAGTTTGTCCTTTGTAAAAATTTTAAACAGTGTCTTGATATAAAAATAAAAAATCCAGTTAGCACTCCCAACCTGCCTCCCTTGCACCGGGCATTTGCCCTGACAGCCTCAGAGCAGGGCACCTCTACTGGCCAGGAATCTGACAATCGCAGCCTGGTTGCCTTGGAACTCAAACAAGTCTGGGCTGTGCTCTGGGCTGTGCTCTGCCGGCCCCCAGGGCCCCTTGCATGAACGTCTCTCCAGATCGTTATCAGGTTGCTGTCTCCATCCCTCTGGCCCCCAGCACTCCAGGTTCCTGCAGCTGAAGCCTCCTAATGAAACAGCAAAAATAATACTTCCTTCCTCCTCTGTTACCACTGCTGTTGTCTTCTTCTCCTCTTTCTCCTACTGTTGTCTCCTCCTCCTCCTCCTCCTCCTCCTCCTCCTCCTCTTCCTCCTCCTCCTCCTCCTCCTCCTTCTCTTCCTTCTCCTCCTCCTCCTCTTCCTTCTCCTCCTTCTCCTCCTCCTCCTCATGCTTTTTTTCCTCCTCTTCTTTTTCATCTTCCTCTTTTTCCACTCCCACCTCCAACACCACCCTGCCCTCATCTTGGGGCTGGGAGGAAGCTTGATCTCTTCCGTGCTGAAATTGTTTCTGTTCCTATCTAAATCCACTGTCTGTGCCATTAGCCACGTGGACTCCCTGGCCTTGGGTGACTGACAGAGCAGAAACCCCTCTTTCCCTGGGGATGCTTCTTTCCTGTTTTGTGAATTCCAATTGGAGAAGTCACCAGAGCCCTGGGAGCAATTTCCCTCAGGATTGTGATCAGTAGCTTCCTGGCAATTCTGAGGCTTGGACTTCATGGGGATCCACAGGGTTAGCATTGTGGGATGGATTCTCAGTGACATGAAGGACTAAACTTGGAATCTGCTCATCGGGCGTGACAGTTGGGCAGGGTTGCTGCTGATACTTTGAAAGCCAGGAATAGAATTCTGCAAAGTGCCCCTGACAAAATGAGAAAGTTGAGCCATCATAACCAGGATAATATGCGCAAGGGATGAATACAAGGTAGCATGGACAAAGTCCCAAAGCCAGAGCTTTGGAAATGGACATACTAGTTGATGACAGATGTATAGTTAAAAGAAGAACTGGGGCTAATGGCTCACAATCGTAATCCTAACTACTCAAGGGCTGAGATCTGAGGATGGCAGTTGAAAGCCAGCCTGGACAGAAAAATCAGACTCATCGCCAAACAGCAAAAAGAAATGGAGCTGCGGCTCAAGTGGTAGAGCACTAGCCTTAAACAAAAAAGCTAAGGGACAGTGCCCTGGCTCTGAATTCAAGCCACAGTATGGGCATACACACACACACACAACAACAACAACAATTGAGGAGAGGTTGCACAGGAGGAATGGATTCACAGTCGTAGAGCTGTTGTATTCCCTCTTTCCCTCCCTGCCTCTCTCCCTTGTTTCCAAAACCCACATGCGTACTAGGGTATAGTAACAAAAAACCAGCACCAAGGAGCCATGAGTGTTAGAACTAGAAGTGACCTCACTGTCTTCTAGCCCAAGCCTTCTATTTTTATTTTTATTTTTTTTGTTAGTTGTGAGGCTTGAACTCTGGGTCTGGGCACTGTTCCTGAGCTTTTTTGCTCAAGGTGAGTGCTCTACCACTTGAGCCACAGCAACACTTCTGGTTTTCTGGTGGTTAATTGGAGATAAGAGTCTCACAGGAGGGCTGGGAAGGTGGCTCAGTGGTAGAGCGCTTGCCTTGCATGCCTGAGGCCCTGGGTTCGATTCCTCAGCACCACATAAGCAAAAAAGAAAAAAGCCGGAAGTGGCACTGTGGCTCAAGTGGTAGAGCGCTAGCCTTGAGCTGAAGAGCTGAGGGACAGTGCCCAGGCCCAGAGTTCAGGCCCCACGACCGGACCCAAAAAAAAAAAAAAAAAGAGTCTCACAGGACCTTCCTGCCCAGGCTGGCTTTGAACCATGATCCTCAGATCTCAACCTCCTGAGTAGCTAGGATTCCAGGCATGAACCACTAGCGCTCAGCCCCAACCCTCCTAAATTATAGTTGGGGAAAAGGGCCCACAAAGCCTATTATAGTAGTGGTAGGAACAGCTCAGTAATATATGACATTTGCCACCATCCTCCTCCACTTTTTTCGCTCTACTTACTATTGGTTATGCCTTCCAAAGCATGCACAGGCCAATCCTAGGCTGACAGGTCTCTAACATAGGTGGAAAAGTGAAGAAAGTCTAGTGAAGCACAAGACCAATTGTGCCAAAGGACTGAGTGTTGGGATTTTCTTCTTTTAATTTAGAAGGAGGCTGATGAGGAAACATTCAAGGTTGCTGAGTACCTACAATGTGACAAGTATGTTCCATTTCTATTGAGGATGTGAGAAGGGAGATGAGATTAAAAGAAAATCCCAGGGAAGGCATTGCTGTGGATAGAAGACATTCATAGGCCCTTAGGAAGTCCTCAATAGAAGTTGCTGAATGAAATGAATGACTACAAAAGAAAAACACCACTATCCTTCACCCACCCAAAAGCCAGGGGCTGGATTACATCACCTTTTTGGGTCAATTCAGAATATTTTCATCTTCCAACTTTTGATTGCACCATTTCAGGTATTTCCAAACTGGGTCTCATAGTTTGAGGGGCGGATAAGCCTCCCAATCAGAAAACTTTTTGGAGGAGAATCAGACTCTGCTTCTCCTCTCATAACTCAAGATACTATAACAAAGCCAGGCTTAAACCTATTAAAAGCTCATCAGGGGTACTGGTGGCTCATACCAGTAATCGTAGCTACTCAGGAGGTTGAGATGTGAGGATCAAGGCTAAAAGCCAGCCTGGGCAGAAAAGTCCATGAAACTCTTATTTCCAATTAATCACCAAAGACCCAGAAATGGAGCTTGGCTTAAGAACAAAAGCTCAAGGATAATGCCCAAGGCCATGATGGCACACACACACACACACACACACACACACACACACACACACAAAACTGGTCCTCACAACTTTGAAAGGTCTGAATGGAAGAGGTAAGTAACCTGCAAGATATGGTAGGATTGCAGTCTAATTAGCGATTCATTTTGTGCCCATGTAGATTGACATTTTTGATCCTGTTTGCAGACCACCAGCCTCCAATCCCCAATTCTTTGTTTGAAGAAAAGTATAGGATATACTTGGATTTTCTTCCATATTGTCCAAGTCATTACTGCCGCATCCCTAGGTTGATCTGCTTTCTATTTTAGTCCTTTGGGAAGCTGAACACAGATCTCCGGATCTGAATTTGTGCTGTGTGTGAGGGGTCAGAGGTTGGTCAATGTAGAAATCTCCATAGAAGAATAGTTCAGGACTGATCCTGGGCTAGTTGAGCTATACTATGACGGATAGAAGAGTAAACACTGGCAGGAAGACAAAACTGAACTATGATCAAATTAATGAAATACCTAATCCAATACATCTTATGGATGAGAGAAATTGCAGGAAAGAGGCCATGGAGGGAAAGGGCAGAGCATAGAGGTGAGATGTAGGCATGCTTAAGGAGCAGGGAGGGGGAGGGGAGTGGCCTGATGGGGTGGGAGGGCTCAAAATTATCAGGGGACATCAGATTGGCCAGGTGGGCTGTCAAGCTCTTCACCAAAGAAAACTTTGTTGGATGAGTGATATGGAGGCCATGACCCAACTCTTGGACTAATGGTTTTATATTGAAACAACAACAACAACAACAACAAAAACACCCTCCGTCTGCTCCACATTCACTCCTCCTCTACAAGAAGACCTTTCTTTCAGAGTAGAGAGGACAAGGTGAGCACTAGAGAGAAGCTGCTGAAGGCAGTCTAGTCCCACAGAGTTTTCAGCTGCTCTGAGAAACTCCATCTCATGATCTGGGTCAATAACAGCCTGGAGCACTTGGACGCCGTGCTGTTTAGTTGCAGGACAACCCTACAGAGAATGAAAGAATTGCATGCTACAACCCAGACATGGGCAAACATGGCCCATCATTTTGCAACTGAGAAAAGGTGAATTCCGCAGTTAAACATCAATACATAAGAATATGGATAGAGGACAGATAATTAAAAGAATCAAAGAAAGTGATTGTCTAGTCCCTATATGGATTAAAAAATATATCTTTCCCTACCCAGATCATTGCTTTTGCTCAGTAGACTGGCTAGGTCGATAGATGAGGGATTACTAAGCCTACAATGTACCTGGGAGTTCAATTAAACATTCTCTACAGACTTTTGGGACAATACAGAGAAATGTACATGTGTAAAGGTAAACCAAGGAGAATTCTGAACTCTGAAGTGAATACACATGAAAGGATTCTGTTTTAATGTCACT